AACAGCTAACAACTAACAACTGATTACCAAACAAGGCCATAATCTATAAGCTAAAAGCTCGAAAATTAGTAATAAGCTATAAACAAGGTTATCAGCTAGTTTTATCAAATATAGTACGAGTAGAAGCTGGTTCTACCATACTAGTAAAAGTATTTATTTTTAGTAAAAAAAATGGCATTACTAAAATTTGTAATTACTTCAAAAATAATGAAGTGCAAATTGGGAACAAAAAATCCAAGAAAATGAAAGCCTGCTTGCTATTGCTAGGTACAACCATATATAAACTTGAACTAGACACTTACTTCAACACAAAGGCCCAAACATTATTTTCAGCATGACATTGAAAACAAAATCTCACAACTGGTAAAAGCCTTGTTTGCTTGTACATATAAAGGTTTTGATAAAAGATGAAAAAAAAATAAAAAAATGTGATCACTTGTATGCAGTCATGCCAACTCCAGCTTCACCTCCATAAAGAACTGAGTTTCCCTTGGCTCTCGCAAAACACACGTAATAAAATTCCGAGACAATGGCCGTGAAGAAAACGAATGAAGCCCCAGCTGCAAATACTCCCTTCCGAACCGTCTCACAAGAAGGCGGGCTCTCGAAAAACCTCGTTCGGTACTTTGTGTGATACGCATTCCTAACCGAACCAGCTAGCAAGCAAACTTCCGCAATGAAAAATGTGACCCTGCATCAAACAATACGCACAATTGGAGTCTTTTCAAGATTTCAGATTCTTGATTCGGCTGTACGAAAATTCTTTTACAAAGAAATCGGATAGGTTAGTTCATTAGAAAATATAGAAATTACAGAAAAATTAGAGATTTAGTCCTATAACTGACACCAAACCGAGAAATAATCCACATAAGTCGCGTTGATTTTACAAAACACCAGGTAATTTGAAAAAAAAAATGACTTTCGCTCCTTCTACCAGCAAAAGTCGATCAATTTGACCGGCTGCTGAGTTAGATATGTTAGTCGGCTGCCAAGTGTACGAAAAAAAAAGAGGAAAATAATAACCACGTCAGCAATCGGTCACAACCACCGGCTTTTGCAAGTAGAAGAACCAAAAGTAAGTTTTATGCAATTACAGGGTTTATTGTAAATTCAACGCGATCACATAACTATTTCTCTATTAGGAGTCAATTACATGACTAAATCTCCAATTTTTCCTAAACACTGCATATGACATTTAGCCCTAACTATGTGCATATTATATGCACACAAACCTACATGTAAACATTTCCTAACTAAAATTGTAACATTCAAATTAAGTACAAGATGTTCCTTAATTAATCTAACTATGATTCTTGTTCATGAAGTCAAAATTGGCAAGAAAAAAGAAACTGAGGGGCATATATATATATACCAGCAAATGATGAACAGAAGAACAGCACAAGCTCTTGAGCTCCCAGGTTTTAATGGCTTCCCACAGCAAAAACATTTGCTTGCAGCCATTATTAGAAGCTGACTTGCCATTAAAGACAAAAATGCACCCACACCATACCCAGTTGCTATATCAGAGTCATAAACACAATAATTGTAGTTATCCTCTGTATCTACCTTTGAAATGCCCTGCAAAAATAAATAAATATTAAATAAAATCACAACCAATATTATAGATTTTGTGGGCACATTAAATATTTGTCCAATATTATTGGCTTTAATTCTTCTATTTTAATACAAATGATGTTGCGAATCGACCCATCTTATAATTTTCAGCTTATCGTTTCATACTTATACTATAAATCGTCATGCTTCAGTTCATATCGAGTCGACCCGTTATACTTTCTACACAAAATGTAACAAGTAAAATCAGTCATAGCATTGCATTGCTTAGTGTCAAAGTGTAAAATAATAAATAACAAAAAAATTGTGTAATATTACCAACAAATAAGTAAAAAAATAAAATAAAAAAAATGCACATTTATTACTTTCAGGAAAAAATAGAGGAAAACTTACTGTGCTTCTTCTTTGCTCTGCAGCAACAGCCAAAGCAAAAGCAATGAGATCAAAAACAAAAACAGTTATCATCACAAGTTTAGAGCCCATTTTTCTTGTCTTCACCCTCTTATTTTTTAATTCTCTGAACATTTATATATATAAGTATTGCACAAATTTATAGGCATTATAAAATCCAGTTGATTGAGTAATTAATAAGTATAGAGCAACAACAACTGAAAAAAATTGAAAAAAAAAATTGATATTTAAAAAAAAAATTGAAGAAAAATGATACTAGCAATAACCAACCACCAAACATTGACAGCTGAACACTTTAGCTGCACCAAAAGGTACTAACTACCAACACAAAAATTATTTTATTTTATAATATATTACTACTCTTACTCAGATATAACGATTAAATGCCGTTTAAATTTAAAATTGAAACATCATACTCTAAAAAATGGCGTCATTTCATAACATAGCAATCTATTTTTGTTACAAATGTATGATGAGTCTACCCGTCTAAAGGTTAAATGGTTAGACAAAAGAGTGAGTTTGTATATAATATACGATATATGTATGGATTTTTAGATTCGGGTACCAAACATAACTAGCATCATGTTAGTTTCTCATTATTTCATAATTAGATCTCTTTATAATTATGATAAAACTAGAGGTACAACATTTTAAGCGAGATGTACAGTGTGAATTTTTTTATTTATAGACAAGTTCTTTAGCTATGAGATAATCTAATCGTTGATAAAAAAAATATAAGAAATGCAATTAAATTATATAAAAATAACTATATATTTACTTTTTTAAATCAAAACGTTTAGCAAGTAATGGTTCTATAACATGAGAAGGAAATTGTTATTTCCCTAATAAATACGAGGCTCTAGTTAAAGGGAAATGCTATGCTCTCGTTACGGTACCATTTCGTCGGGTGTTGGATCATCTATCTTATCTAACTACATGTGGATCCAACGGTTAAAACATCCGAAGGGATAGTATCGTTACGGGACCGTAGTATTTTTTTTTTTGGTAGCCAGTCACGGTATCTGGAGCTTTGCCCTGACTAATTCGTTGGTAGACCCGAGTCGCACACCTGACAATGGTGGGTGAGTCTCTCAACAAGGATTTTCTGCATTCACAAGAACTCAAACCCGAGACCTTGCTTAAGCGACATCAAGCTGCTTACCACTTGAGCCAACCATTGTTGGTGGGACCGTAGTATTTGCCCTAGTTAAAGACTAGTGAATTAATGGCTAGATGAACTCAAATCAAATTTAATCTGTGACATTGTTTATATTTTATTAAATTATTTTTGTCCTTCAAGTTGACATCATAAATAAGCAAAATCTACGACCTTTCCGTGAATATTCCCGGAGTATATGGACGACAAATTAAAATAGTCCAATTATAGTTTGAGACCCAAAAATAAACTAAAAAATAGTTATTTATTTAATTTTTACCATTTTGTTGGGGACATGAATCGTTCTTCAATTAGAATATTCGTTAAAACCGGTCAAAAAATTTTGTGACCGTGAATCAAATTATTTTTAATGACTGCTCAAAGTAAAAGTCTCAGTCCTATATATGTATAATTTGAAGTGTAAAATGTGTTGAAAAGAGTAAAAGACATCTTTAAAAAAATTGCTTATATGAACTAAAATATATTGAAAATTATAATTAATAAATAAATAAATATGGGTTTCCACTCAGATGATCACAATGTTAAATTTGCGTGAATTATAAGATTATATTGTGACAATAATTCCAGAGTACACACAACAAGCATGTATATATATTGATTACTTCTAACTTCAAACAGACAAGGATTTCACAAAACTACAAACTTTGTCTCCTCATTGACCAAACAAATATGTTGATTCTTAGACATAATAAAACATAATAGAGAAAACGAAAAATAGTTGTCTGCTCATTAGACGGGTCGATCAGTGTCCTATCTTTTATTTTTTCAATAAAAATACATTTTTATGTTTTTAAATATCTTTTTTTTTTGTTTTATGTTATTTTTATATACAGTATGACATCTTAATTTAAAAGTAAGCATATCTGTTAGAAAAATATAATTACAAGACTATGGCATATCTACAACATAAATTGCTTAGGTAGCACCATCAAATGTAACACTTTACGAATAGGTATCATATAAGTGTTACCAAAAACTACCAAAAATATTACTTATCTGTAAAGTGTTACATGTGATGGTGCTACCTAACGCCAAAATCCGAAATGTATTTATTTAAAAATTGTTTAAAATAGAGGTCACATATCAAGTATGCACATAGAAAATATATAATTTATACTAGTATATATAGAAGCACGTGTCGTAATTTTTGATTGAACCGTTCAAAATACTAACGAATTATAATTGAAATAAAACAAAAACAGAACGACCAAAATATAAGTCAAAGCATGTCATATATCCAGAAAGTCTTCTGGATTATTTAATTATGATACGTGCGTTTCTATTGATTTTCTAACAAAATTAAACCTTCAATTTTGAGAGAAAGAACAATTATATATATTCTGTCTGTGTGTGTTTTATCATCAATATATATATATATATATATATATGTATATATATATGATTTAATTTCATTAATTATTGGTAACAAATACATGTATGATTATGTACATGTATCATGATTATGTAGCAATTTATATTGGTACATAATAAGATTACAATGAAAAAAATAAAAAAAATAGAAGTTCCACAATTTTGAACATATGTAATTAATTAATTTAAGCAAATACGCGGTTAATATATATAGTTAAATTTACCTAGATTTAAAACTCTTGAGGGAGAGCTTTGTCGCCCTTGTGGTCCTACCCGACTCGATTCTGGATTAGTCGGTTCCCCTGTGGATCCGGAAACCGGAAAGTCCCTGTACCAAAAAACAAAAAAAAAAAATTACCTAGATTTAATTTACATTTAGATTATCCTACAATACAAATGTGAATTTGAGAAAAATACATCGAATAAATTTATGTAAAAATTAGAAAGAATAGTTTTGTAACGCATGCATATGAACGTATTGGAAGGTCCAATATGTGAAGAAAGCTCCATTTTCATATATTATAATATTATTTCTACCAGAAACAGTCAGGCAATTCAAGTATTCTTCTTCAAAGCCATTGGCAAAATTTATTTATTTTTATGATGTTTGGACTGAAGGCTCTGAACTATTTGCTAGATAAATTGAAATATTCAAACATGTATTTTTCTATAGTTAAATTTTACATTATTAAGAAAAAAAATACTGCATTTTGAGCATGCCTTATTTAACAGGCGAAATTGCATTTTATGCCAGTAACTAAGGGTGTGTGGCAAATGTAGGTAACTTCTTTTTAATTTCGCAAAAGTGTCCTGAAACTTGTTAAAACTCGAAATTCGTGCCAAAAAAATTTGTGCCCAATTTGGGCACGAATTTTGAATTTTAACAAGTTACTGTCTTGTTTTGCCACACGAAAAATCGGTCAAATCCAGTAACTTGCATGTAAATTAGGCACGAATTCTGGGTTTTAGCAAGTTTTGGGACACTTTTGCCAAACTAAAAAAAAGTTGTCCACATTGCCACACACGCATAGTTACAGGACACAAAATGCAATACAAAATGCAATTTTGTCTATCAACTATTGCATCAATAGTTTGGTCCAACTTTTCTTCCTCACATGCTCACAATTTTTATTTATTTATTTATTTTTTCCAAAGCTCTTTTCAAAATCAACTTTAAATTTCGTGGTAAGTCCTCAATACAATTTCTATATTCACACATAATCAAAGTAATTAATATGGAAATTCCCTACAAACTCAACGTGTGTTGGACCTATAAATTTGACACCCTAACTAACAAGATAAAAGGAAAAAAAAAAAAAAAAAAAATCTATTGTACCCGTCAATCAAATCTTCACAAATTCCGATTTTCTTTCATCGCCATGCAATCTTTAGTAGCTTCCAAATTCTTACAACGCCAAATCCTCACTCACAACAAGAACAAAAGTAGCCAAATATTCGAAAACATCGTAATAAAAAAACCTAATTCGTGCGATGTTTTCATCAACCATCGAGGAACTGACACGAAACGGTCCTTCGCCTCATTGCTTTACGACCATCTTTTTCATCTCAAGATTCGCCCGTTTTTGGACAACAAGACTATGAAGCCGGGCGACAAGTTGTTCGAAAAGATCGACACCGCAATTAGGAGTTGCAAAATCGGCGTAGCCATTTTCTCCCCGCGTTATTGCGAGTCGTACTTTTGCCTTCACGAGCTCGCGCTCATGACCGAGTTGAGGAAAAAAGTGATCCCCGTCTTTTGCGACGTTAGGCCGGCCGAGCTTAGGGTTTTGGATAATGGGAAAATGAGTAAGGAAGAGTTTGAAAGGTTTAGTTTGGCCTTGGAGGAGGCTAAGTACACCATGGGACTTGTGTTTAACTCTCAAAAGGGGTAAAGACTAAATTGAGTGTATTTATGTACAAATATGTTAATTGCAAGAATATTGAACTTGCATGAACAATAAATTGGCTTAACTATCTATAACAGTGGTACTGATTGCTGAATTTTTTTTTTATTTTTTTTTTTTTGGTTACGTATATATTTATATTGAATTTTAATTTCTCAAAGATTGATTAATAATTTTACTTATTTCAGCTTTTAAAATTTATTTGGTGGCAGGAACTGGTCAGACATAGTGAGAGACGCAGCTGATATCGTGATAGAGAGCCTGGAAGAGATTCATGAGGATAAAGAAGAAGAAGAAGAAATAATTCTATTCTAATTAAATTACTGATTAAATTATAAGATTATGATTAATTAAATAATACTTTAGCACGCATCATACATATATATCTCCCCAATTATTTGAAAAAAAAAAAATGTCACATATTAAATGTGTAATAAACCAGCCCTTCAATTAATTTCATTCATACGAATTTGATGTATTTATTTATTCTTTCTGAAAAAATAACAAATCAACTGTAATTGTGTACGTATCCCCATTATTGTTAAGCTGTTTAATGTAATTTTTCTCCCTGTTATTTTGTAATATATTATCATTTATGTAATATATATTCAGATGGTCAGTCACTCTGTTTTAAATTAATAAAAAAAAAATATATAAAAAAATCATCGCATTTATTTGATAGCAGAATTTCTTAGATTGACTTTTACGTGAGGCATTTTTTATATTCGCGCAGACTCATAGTCATAACTACTTAACTACCTTTTAGTCTTACCCGACTCGATTTCAGATTAGTCGGTTTCCCTGTGAATTCGAAAACCGGAAGGTCCCCTGTACCAAAAGAAACAAAATAACTACTTAACTACCTAAATATATAGTAATGTGTTGAATTTATACAATTATAATATTAGAATGCTCTTTATATAATATTTTTTTTTTCAAAACGATAGGACTATTTAGATAATTAATTAAGCCCTAATTAATATATATACATTTCCATATTCTTCATTACAGTGTGTAAAAATTATGGAGTTTGAGAAATTTATTTATACATGAAATTAC